TTTTGTTTGAGTGGACACTACTACGCTCAGGTGACAACTGGTGAAAAGAGCTACATATACATGTTTAGGACTCTATGATACATCCCTTCTTCAATTACAGAACAGTGATAGATGCAAAAGTAAGTGTTTACTCACCATTAACTGGATTCAACATTAGGAATCCTGTTTCAATGAAGAATTAGACATTGTTTTCTTATCCACACATACATCCCATACAAGGGACATAAGTTTGAAAAGATGTACACTATGTGGCACACATGTCAATGGAGAAATATGATAGGCTCAAAAGGTTATACTTAAATAGCATTGATGAACTGTCACTGTTTCACAACAAAAATATTTGTATTTGAGCAAATTCAGACCTGTTTACCCATAAATTTTCCTGTCAGTATTTTAAGCAATGCCTGTCAGTATTTTCAGACCGCAGCCAGTATTTTCAGCACACAAATAGTAGATACTATCAATATACTATAATTATCATTATGTAGTATTACACGACATAATGACTATACAATATTGTGTAAATAACTCTTAGTTTGCAAAGACGCTGGTATTCAGTTATATCTGTGTTTCAAGGCACAAATATGCAGAAATTGAACACCACTGACTTAAACATCCTGTTCATATTATAGTGATAAAAACCACAAAAAAATACCACAACATAACCAAATTTATTGTTGTTTACCTCTGTTACTTTCTCTAGAAATTGCAGTTTTCTCAGCTTCTCACATATCCATAACATTTTAATTAAAGCCAATTCTCTATTTTACATGGTTAAGGACGACTTGATATAAAACATTATGACATTGTTACCACCCATCCACTTAGAAAATAATAAGTTTATCTAGATAGGTGAAGGCAATCTAGTATCATCTTTGTCAATATTTACTAGAATGGAAATAAGGTTAATAAATTATTTTTCATTGTCAGCTGTACTCAATGACAAATTCATATTTGCGATCAACTCACATAGAATCGTCTCAGCACGTGTTATTTGTTTTTGAAGTATGTTTTGATCACTGACTTCCTTTCCTTTCATCATTAACAAAATGTTTATTTCCATTCACTAATGATTTCAATTTTGTATGATTTTCCGATTCCACATGCCGTGAACAGTCATTCCTTCCACCATGTGCACAGGAAAAGTCTAAGTTGCAAACAGTGCAATGCACAAAATGTTCTCCTTTTGACGATGGTTTAAGGCATAGCCATAGAATAAACTGGTAGAAAATGCTGCTTTCTGTGTTAGACTTTCCATTTTCATCATCAGTTTCATGCTAAAACTTGTCGGCTGCATTTTCCTTTGTTTAAACAACCGGATGTTGAGAATGTCAAAATAAGTGACGTGGCACAAAATGCGGGCGCGGATGCGGACCGAAGAGATTGATACAACGAAACGAAAAAAAAGTCTTAAAAAATTAATTTTAAAAAGTAATAAATAAATGCAACCTCAAATCGTATTTTCAGTTCAATGACCGTACGGATGGGCTTTATTCTGTACAAATACGGTCAAATACGGTCGGGTAAACAGGTCTGAAATTGGGTATTAACATGTGTTATAAATCATCAGAATGTGTTACATTAATGAGAGTATATATATATATATATGAAGTATGATTGCATTATATCACATTACAATTTCCAGAAATATGTTAGATAATAACTAAGATATTTATCTGATGCATGGATATTATTTAAGTATGGTCTTTCCGGTTGTCACCTGAGCATAGTAGTGTCCACTCAAAATTCACGAAATTCGCAGGTTTCGGAGCCCGTAACTTAAGTTTGGTGCAATGCAGAATAGTCAGAGATGGCTTGATGATTAGAAAAATATCTCAGAAATAAAAAAGCCATAGAATATGATCATATGCCGCTAAAGACGGAAACAGCAATAGGAAATAGAGGGTCATGGGTGGAACGAAGTGTTCAGAAGTTACTTACCTTGTCTCATACAATATAGACTATATTGTATAGTACATGAATGACCGGGTAAATTATCAGCAACGATACGATCTTCTGTGTTGTGGTCTTATATAGTATGATAGAGAGGGTGTAATGTCAGAACGGATGTAATCTGATGTATTTTACTCACTCTGTGTGACTTTTTACCTTCAGAATATTGGGGTTTCTTTCTTAAATTCATGCTAACGTCGAGCACCTGTGCTGAAATTGAAAGTAGATTTAAAAGTAGATTTAGAATTGAGTGATTTCTTCGTTGACCATGTTTCAATTTCTTCAGTTATTATTATGTATTTCACCTATTGGATGATTTATATATGGAGTCTGATCTTCATCTTTCCTTCGTTGATTCTTGTGTTTAATTGCAGCAAAATTAGCGCAGCGAATAATTTCTTGGATTTGATTTGCAACCACATGACCGTATTCAGCCATAGTACACCGTCTGCTGTCCTCTACGTTCCTTGTCACAAAAGGGCTTAGATTATTGTGTAAATAGGTGAAAATGCGTTTAACCGATATTTTTAGATTATTTTACGCTAAAGTGCACTTGATTAAGGAATTCTCAATTAGAGTGCTGTCTACCACTAGAGACAATTTGATTAAAATCAGATCTCCACTCTACAAGTAGGACAGTTGAGTTCTGATTTTAATCAGTTTGATCTTAAGTTCAAATGAAAACAAAAGACCATAGAAAGAAAACACCAAAAAGAATACAACTGATACGTCCTCAAAGTACAGAAGGAGGCGCAAGTGAAAGATTGTATGAAACATGAAATCGTTCAGGGGAACAAAAAGCATCAGTACGGAAGGCATGGGTTGAAAAGGACCGGTCTGGAAAGGCCTAGGACGGAAAGACCAAGGTTAGAAAAGACCTCTTTAAAAGATTGTTAAAAAAAAAGAAGATGATGAAGTACCAGTAGCTGTCCTTTTATGAAAGTTTTTTTTTTTACAATAAACATGTCTATTCACTTTTGGTCAATGACATATTTATACATATATTGCCAAAATATTAAAGTGCAAAAATGAAGCACTGGTCAGTGAGGAGTAACACCAAAAACTAAGTAAACCACTGATAGCAAAGAGCAAACCTGCAGAGTCAAACTTACCATTAGACAAAGGTCGATAATTGCCTTAGGCCCCAAACAATTAAGGGCCCCGTAAAACTGGAGACCTAATATGTAATTAATATAAATTAAGGACTGAAAAGGGGGAGAACAAAGGTTTTGGCACAGAGAAAATATATACTGTTTGATGAATGCGCAATATTGATTGATCTCCTATTCTAGTTTTTGGACTAAATTGGAAAGAGCTCGATTGCTTTGATGTAATTTTCTTACAGCTGCTCGATTGCGCCACACATTTTGTAACAGTTGTCGACTGAAATAAAAAAATTTGACCATAAATTAAATCAATATGCTTGAACTTTAAGTCACACTACAGTTCTAAAATTGGACTTTTCTTTAAGCATGTATTTAGGATTTGTATATTATTGTTTTCTTTTCTTGAATGTTCAATAATTCGCCTGTTCTTATGCGACGGTCTTACAGCCACTTGTTTCATCTCCAATTGTAATTCTTTGTGTTTCAACATTTTTTTTCTACCCATCTTTTGTTAGTCTTGTGATCTATGCTAGGAAAATTAATAAATTTATGTTAGAAATAAGAATTTTAGTAATGTTCGTGAATATAATGTACTGACAATGAGCATTGCTAAATTATTTACATTATTTGCTGAATTTTTTAACATGAAATTCCAATTTACGATAGATTAGTCAACACATTTCCTATAATAAATGTATTTAATTACCTATTATAGCATTTTGTACTGGTAAGCACAAACGGCCAAAATGTTAAAAGCCGCCTCAACAATAGCCGAAATACACACACACACACACACACACACACACACACACACACACACACACACAATCCTTACTGGTGATCGATGATTTAGGTACTTATGAATTTGTTGGTATATTAATGTTATTACAACTTAGTTATTTATTGTTTTAGTATTTCAGTGAGTATTGTATTGTTTTCTTAAATTACCTGCTGTGTAAAATTTATCTCAACGACAATCAAGCGAGGCAGCTGCTAATACCATTTTATACATGTCTTGTATTGTTCGACCGGGTTTCAAACCCGCGATTTCCCGTATCCGAGGCGGGCGCTCTAACCACTAGGCAACTGGAGAATTCCATTTGTTATAAACTTAAAACTGCTATTAGTTTTTCATCTTATTTGAGTGATTTGGATGTGTAATTATATTTAAACTTTCTTGATCTTTGCACACCAAATATGCTAAAGAGATCAATGGATAATTAAAGGATCGTACTTTGCACATTTCTTGAATACAGCTCTTGAAACCGTTAGGTCTGTGTTGGTTGACGTTAGTTATTTACGGCACAATAACACATTGAATATTGTATAGTGCTTAGGCAGATAGAGTCGAATGTGTTGCCAAGTGAAATGAGACAGCAGCCGGCCATGTTGTTCCGATGGCGACAATTGAACCTGAACGTATTTGGTCATGCGAATCAAGTCATTTTTTAAAGTGCTAAAACAACTTTGAAATATCGACTAAAATAAAAAAGCATGTAACTATTTCATGATTTTTATGTGACAAATACAAAATAAGAAAAAATACTAGATTCATTACTCACCTGGAATTCACTTTAAAGATCAAGGAAACATGGTTGGATGCTAGGTTATGCATCATTCCTCAAAAGTTACCACATATACGCGCAAAAATAAATATTCAGACGTATACATGCTCCATTTTTGTCATAATGTGTGTGTGTATGCGTGTGTGTAATATTTAGATTTTTAATGTAGCTCTAACAATTTTTCAGTCATATCGCTACGAATTCTGCATTGTGGCACTTTTAATTAATATCTAGCACTGGGACATCATGCCGCAGACATGTGGCATGATGTCCCACCTAGTCACATAAGTCTGACACCAGGCCGACCAATCCTAACACTAACCTCTAAATGCTGAGCGCCAAGCAAGGCAGCTGTTAGTACCATTTTTTAAAATCTTTTTTATGACATGGCCGGGGTTCGAACCAGTGACCACCCGCATCGGAGACGGATGCTCTAACCACTAGGCGATCGGAGCGGTCTTGCCATAATGTGACATGACTCTTAAATGGCAGATTTATGTTTAGTCTTGACTGCCCAATATAGCTAGTTCAAAAGGAAACCAAGAAACAGCACATAAGAGCGGCGTTAACGTCATATTACCTTTTGGCCTCTATTTTAAGTTTTACGTACATTTTGTTTTCCTTCTGCATAAAACAAAAGCAAAACAAGCAAAGAATTGCTAGCGATTACTATCAGTTTAAAAAGACAACTTAATACTCCAAAACATTTATCCTTGGTAGTTTTGCCCTATAAAAGACATTTATAAACTGTTCATGTCGATTAGTAATATTTGACTGACAATTTCATCTCAAGTGCCTTAAGTTATATAGACGAAGAGGAAGAAGGAAGTATCTAAGGTTAAAGATGAGAAGGAGGATAAAAGAAAACACTTAAACTTAAAGGAAAATGAAGAATCCATAACGTACCTGTAATCTTCAATCTCATAATTCTGCTTCTGCTTTTGGTTTCATCCTCATTTTTATTTCCCTTCTAACAAATAAAAGCAGTTATTAAATAAGAACAGAGCCTTTATCAAGTTTCGGGTTCAGCTTTCTTAAACATGGCAATAAGGGGGCATAATCTTCAGGGAGAGACCTAAACTACAACATTGTATACACTTCGTGCTAATTTCGCAATTTGATTTTCGACATATAAATGAGAAGAATATAGAAAATTCATTTGCACTCCACTTGTGACGTCTCATGAGAATTGGATGAGTCAGTCTGGGCAATGTACGTTTTTAATGGATAACATGTAGGGTTGTTTTGAGATAAACAGACAGACATACTTAGGTAAATATGGACATATGATATTTCCACGCCACTTGCCACACGCCTTTTCTAAATTTCAAAACTGGACACAGACATACAATATACAACATAAGGATCGTCTGATCAGAATTGCTGAGCAAAAACAACTCGTAGAAAATAAAGATAAATATATACATATACTTCAATGACAACACAACCAAAGGAATTTGATTCCAGGAGATGTCTCTATCACGTAATGCAAGATAACATTTCAGAAAAGAACAATAACATTTGCATTATACAGGATTTATGCAGCCAAGCACTACTGTAAACTATTGTAACAATGACGGTGCCGAAATTTCTCCTTTATCAGGTTCAAGTACGTTAACTATGACTGCAATTAATTTGGATTGGTTTTGTGAGGTTTAACGCCATTTTTTTAAACTATAGATCCTATCAATGACGGCCATGCTTGTTATACAAAGAACATTGGAAGTCCGGGAAGGCTACTGACAAGTTTTTGAACACACGTTGGCCCCGCCGAGAATGGAATCCATGCGGACAGAGATGAAATGTCAGTGATCGATCGTAACATCACTCGACTATATCCAACAGATCATGAAATAACCTTTTGGTTCTAGGAATTCACCTCAATTTGATGTGCTTGATAATTTGTCTCTTGCGGAGTGTGCAATATTTGTTACGCAACAAAGACCGATAATATTCTGTTTGTAACGTTTTCTCCTTTCGCCGTTAGTGTCCCATGTCAGCGTAAATAGTTCTAAACGGTGACCGATTACATTCGATCCTTTTTTCTTGACTTAACGAAAAAGGGTGATAATGTTCTGACTAGTCATTGATTTTTACAAGGTAGCACCTTTGACCACTCAGTCAATCTCTCAACCGGGGCATATAAGAGTCTGTTGTGTCTGGTTAATTCCGAAGTTAAAAACCAGAGTTTATGGCAAGTAGTGTGAAAAGACTCTCTCTCTCTCTCTCTCTCTCTCTCTCTCTCTCTCTCTCTCTCTCTCTCTCTCTCTCTCTCTCTCTCTCTCTCTCTCTCTCTCTCTCTCTCTCTCTCTCTCTCTCTCTCTCTCAAAATTCAATAACTCTAGTCCTTTCAAATACTGACTTTGATTATTGTGGACCTAACTATTTACTCTGCGGACAAAAATATAAAAATGTAAAGTTGCCTTGCCAGGAAATTGCCTGCTTTTGTTCTTTCAATCCAGCAAATCAAAACTTCCGTACAGTGATTGTCCACGCTTCAATACCTATTAAGATTCAAGGTAACGTGTATAACACAGAACGAAACTTGGATTTTCTACCTGTCTGATTATTTATTGTTCAGGTGTTGTTGTTGTTGTTTTTTTCACTCCCTATTCTACATTTTATAGCTGGACGTTGACAAACGAATTTTCACAATGTCGTATCCACTGGAATAAAACCATAGTCTCCACATTCTATTTTGCACATTCTGTTCCATAAGCTGAAGCTCCGACGACAGTGAGTTACGAAGTCAAAACAGTACAGCGTCGCCAAGCGGTTACAATATGATAGACTTCTAATATTACACGGCGTGATATCAAAGGACCTTTCTGGTGACACGTGATAATATTATCAAGATCTCAATTCTAAAAGAAAGAAACGAAAATATTAATTTGTGTACAACATATTGAAATCTCTAGTTATTGGAAGATAAAAACATCCAAATTTAAGCTAGTGCTTTGATATTGATTGGAGTGTAGGAGAAGCGTGCTCCAATCAATAATTCATATCCTGAATATAATAAGGACATTGAAATGAATTTAGATTAAGCATTTATTATTGTTCAGCTTTCACTTGGTAATGGAAAAAGCCTAATTAATAAGCCAGTTCTATCGGATAGAAGTCAAATGATGTTTTATCGCACCATTCAATCAATAAAACCTTATTAAATTTCGTTGTGAAGTTGGGAACAAAGTAATTGATAATCACCATAGGGAATAATTAAATTAATTAGGTTTACAATGTGAATGACCACTGGAAGGTTATGGACATGATCCAAAAGGTCGTTTCTTGGAAAAATACCGTCCACACTCACACTCTAACCCCCCCCCACTAAAACTTGATATAAAGTTAAAGCTGTCCTTGGAAAGCACGCAAGAAGCACGCGTCATTTTAGACAAACATCTTTTGAGACTGGATGTAGCACTTGTGATCAGGCAGCTTCCAGAATATAAAAAAGGCTTTGAGCTGTTTTATTCTCAGTGTGATTCCATGCTCTCAATGAGTGTTATGTCTACATCTTACAGCGATCCTTACAGTTATTGAATTTGATTGGTGGAAAATGACATTCCATACAGTTATTGAATTGAAGTGGTGGAAAATGACGTTAGTAGTAGGAGAAAGTAAGAATCCGAGCTCAACAACCCCCTCCAGACCTCCAAACAAATACAAAATACCTAGGTAACGTAATAGAAAACCTATTGCAATCAATAATTGCGTTAAGAATCCGAGCTCAACAAATACAAAATACCTAGGTAACGTAATAGAACACCTGTTGCAATCAATAATTGCGCTAAGAATCCGAGCTCAACAACCCCTCTCCCCACCCCTCTTGACCTCCAAACAAATACAATAGAACACCTGTTGCAAAATACCTAGGTAACAGGTAAAATTTAATTACGTGATCTTCCAGAATAAGCAGAATGATATGTCAGACTCAATTTTCCAAATCATTACGATTTAGCAGAGCGTGGCGATTGTGGACTAAATTACGCATTAGAATTCCAGTAAGGTAAGTGGTATTATATAAAATTTTATGTTATATCATACTTCTTTTGATAATCTTTCTCATATTTGCTGATCCTCATGGGAAGAATATCTGTTAACATGTTGTCAATAATACGAAATTCACGTATTAAATCGTCCATACTATATTTTACTCCTCGTAGGTAAGATCTTATTTGATCAAGTAGTTTTTTGTAAGTTATAATTGATGTTAAGCAGCCGTGCTTTTTTATCAAAATTTTAGGTTCAACTTTTTTACAAGCTGCTGTAAGAGAAACACCAACACCGGATATGATTAACAAAAACGGGTTTAATGATATACCACTTGAAATTATGCCAGAACTAGTCATTAACAAGGGTAGATATGATATTACTCGAAGTATTTTGTTATAATATTTGTAGCATTTTTTAACGCACCAAAGTTTTTTATGATAATATTTGTAGTATTGTATTAGTGCGTCAACATCCTGTTCTGGAATATCTTTTGAAATATGATTGAAATCAACTATACTTTTTTTCATTATAATATTTGTTCATATAATCTCAGGCTTGATTAAGTAACTAGTTGAGGTGTTTCAGCCACAAATTCCAGACAATACCAATATGACACAGCAGTTAATTTTTTGTCATCTGCTATTAGCATAAAAGTTTCTTCAACATCTTTGTTTAACACAATAGACACAGTTCCAGAGAAATTATCAGTCGAGTGACGCCATGGAAATAATGTAAATATATTAAACTTTGCACTGCTCAACACGGACAATCTATACACACCAGTGACCTCTGCAGTATGTTTGAGAGTGTTATTTTGCGGCGACCAAGTAGACATTCCAGAAGCAACAGTATAGACAATATTTTTAATCTGCTTGTGAGGAATTTTAATCATACTTGTTTTCTCAACAATACTAGGAATTCCACTAATAATATCGTTGAGTTTTGTGTTAATATTATCGAGTGTAATATCAACAGACGGTGGACTTCCAAAAAATTCGTTATTGGTTTTGTTTATGTTTCTACGAAAATTTAAAAACGTGGTGATGTGATTAGTAAAATCAGTTTTGAACTTGGTGATTTCATTGTTGATATCATCAACATATTTCTTTGTTACAGCATCAAAATCAGATTCTGGTGTTCTAAGATTATTGATGCCATTATTGTTCATGTTGAGAAATGCACGCATTATACCGCCACGCACCGACACGTACTTTGATTCCTGATCATCAACATATTTCTTAGTAGCAGCGTCATTATCCTCAGTTGGGTTTCCAAGGTATGTGATCTTATTCTGGTTCATAGCAATGTTTCCCGTAAATAAATCACCTGCTTTTCTAACATAATCGTTAACTGACCTACCCGAATCTTCTATCTTACCTTGATTGTTAAAAGTAACAATATTATTAGCAACTGCAGTAGGATTTCGTACTAGTACATCTGATAGTTGTACATTACTC